CTGTCAATATGCTGGAGTTAATTCACACGTGTCAGCTGGGCTCAGCTCACAATGGGCCAGCCAACTTATGAACTCCCCGCACCACTCCAGTGAGTCCATAAAACAACTGGCAACGCCGCTGGGGAGCACCCTGAGACACCACCCTTTTGCAAAGACCACCAGATGACACAGATGGGGCAAAACCAAACAAAGACGAGACTTCTTTTGTACAACGAGGGGACCCCTTTCAAAAGCCATTCATGCAACAAATTGGGGAAAGCTGGCCATGCAGCACTCCGAGTTTGCTCTTTTATTAGCGTGTCCTTACGTCACAGTAAGTGAAATCAGATTTATGGCTGTTTACAACAAAGGTGGTTAAAATCAAGCAGACTTTTACCTAAAAAAAAAGAAACACAGTGCTAACCAACAAAAGTTTGGCTGTGTTAACCAGAACCAGCTTGTTTCACGTAATAAACAAGACATCCAACTATTTTTTTAACACTTTCCAACATTGCGCAATAGTCAAAAAATAATGAGCTAAAGTATTTTAAGGAAAATAACTCACAGGTTGTTTGCCTAAAAATGTAGCTATTTTTAAAAATAAAAAATAAAGCTAAATAAAATAACCCATAATCCGTAACTTCTCTTTTGTTAACCACACCAGTTTAATTGTCTTATTACAGTCAGTGAAATAATTTATAAGCATGGTTAAAGTTCTGTACCTTTAAATAGCATCAAGTTTTGTGTTCCAAAGGCAACGCGTCATCAAAGAAGGTTTTCTTGCATGTAGGTCAATAAATATGTGCAAACAAGCTTTTCCTCGTTAGACCCTTTGCATTTCTTTTTCTTCTTCCATCTCAGCTGCACACTAGTGCTGCTGCAGCAATCTGCATAGAGCGACATTTGTCATCATTAGCCCAGCTCTGACAGTTGGCACCCCGCACCTCAGATCTCCAAGACTGGCAATTATGAACCCTTCATTCCTTATTTAGGCAACATTGCCTAATTTCAGTGCAGGCTATCTCAACAGTGTTTTATTCCCAACAGTCACAAGCCAACAATACACTCTCAGTTCTTTCTGTTCCTTTGTTTGTCGTCCAAAAGTATTCCTAATCCTAGACCAGACGACATGCAAGTGAGATTTGCGTTCAGGTAGTCTGAGATATGAGATTCGAGAGCTCTTTATATGAGCATCTGGGGGTCAATGGGTAGATGATTATATTGCCCACGTTTTAATGGTAGACCATTTGCAAAGATTGAGATTAATCACAATGTATGCGCTAAAAGGTTGCTTTAAACATGGTGAAAAAGAACAAAAATACTAATTTAGAAAGATAAAGCAATGACAAAAGCAACAAAATTATTTAAAAAAATGCTCCCTAATTATAGCTAGTGCAGATTTTTGTTAAACAACAAAAATGAAATAGTAAAAAAAAAAACAGGAAAGTAATGCTAATATTTGCTAATATGCGAGAACAGAACTACAGCAGATTCCTGCCAGATGAATTACCTGTGCAGGAAAAGCTGCACTGAATGTCAAGTTAGGCAGAATTTTTCTTTTGAGATACATCCAGACATTTTCTGGATTGTTACTTTGACAAACAAAACTGAATGGTATTCATGCTAAATTCATGCAAATACATGCATGTAATTTATCACCAAGGCTGACAAGCGTACCATATTGCAGAGGGGAGGGGTGGAGGGCCAATTGAAAATGAGCAGTCAATTAAATTTTATAATTTACACTTACTCTTTAGAAAAAAATCTACCATTGCATTTGGGGAGTTCTCGGATAAGCCGAGAAGCTGAGATGAGGTAACAATACTGGGTCTCTGAAATCCTGCACGAGGCAGCTTTCTGACTTAACCAAAAGAGATTGATGATACACAGAAGGAAAAAAAAAGATTGGACACAACCCAAAGGGGGTCCACGGTGAGGCTCCAGGCCCCAAAATTAGCCAGCCTCCTACAGAGATGCCATATTGCTTGAAATAATAATGATCCATTAATAATAATCTCAATGACAATTTCATTTTATAGCAAACAAAATCAGAGAAAACATGTTGAAGCGACTGGTTATCCCATGAGAATATTATTTTGTGCAATTTGAGTGTCATTTTTGTCACGTTTCTACAGTGTCAATCCTTTAAATCTGATTCATACAGACATATGTCATCCGATTAAGTCCACTTTGACTAATCTGCACATTAACTTAGATGCTTGCTGGTAAAGTCACTTTGAAGATGGCTTGAGGGTTCCTATGACACCCAAAATTCAATTTAAAAAAGCAGATGTCTGACTTTTTTTTGTTCTTGTGAAATAGGATTATTACAATTATGAAATATTATATTTAATTACACTGCCATCATACTGATAACAAAAAACTCATCTATAATCATACGATTGCTGACCACAGACTTGACTTGATTCACTTTAGGGATTAGGCAAATCTTCAGCTTTACAACATTTATGGATTACATAAATTACATTATATTTTTATTTCAAAATAGTTTAAATAAAAAAGATGAAATGCAGATGCACAAAGTTGTTGACAACTATTTTAATCAATAATACTGATAATGAAGCTATTTTTTTCAAGCATATTCCCTAAAAAAAAAATAATAATAGAACTTCAAAAGTTCAAGAAGTCTTCATCAAAAAACATTTCTTTCATCAAACCTACTGAACCTAAAGTATACATGTCCATCAACAGGATGATCAGTTTTACTAAAAGAAGGGGGTGTGGAGAAGAAAGCTGAATGGTGTACAGGAATGTTCTGAAAGCAAAGAGGCCTTCAAAACAGGGTCACATGCAAAATTAGAGGTTGAAGCATTCATATTGATTTACACATTCATGTATTTTTCTGCTTTAGAAGTAGATTTGTGCTGGAATCACAATCCCATTTATCACAGTGAAGGGCCTCCGTTCGCCTCGCAGGGTACATGGAGTGACAAGAATGTCGGAGTGGTAAAGATATGAGTAAGAAGTTTGGATCGTCTTGGGCCAGACCTGACAACTGCTGGAGTCATGGGACTGTGGAGCAGGTTGAGTTACTGTGGGATCTGTGCAGCCACATGCTTTAGATTAAGAGGTGATAATCTCAATGAAAATCCCCCCTTCTATCATGCAACATGATGGCCAAAGGCTTGAGCGTAAACTCCAGTCGTGCAACTAGACTCTGAAGTGTATGACTTTAAGCATGATAGTCTGGAAAGAGAGGCTGGTTTTAATAAAAACCAGGTACCTGCTGAGGTAAAGACAGTGAGAAAAAAATGTCTGTAAAAACTTGAGAAGGGAATAAGCTTTTAGCGACCTCTCAACCCGAAAACCTTTCATGATATGCTCCATATCCTAAATAAATGTGAGAAAAAAAAAACGTATAGTTTGGAAATTTAATCTGGCCAAAATACAATTCAGTAAACGTAAGTGAACGCTTAAAATAACTTAAAACGTCTAGCATATCCCACAATTGGATTTCATACTTCAAATCTGTAATTTCTGCCTGGTAACAGCGTAAAATTATCACTAGAATTGCCAAGCTGCTACTGGCAGAATATCCGTGACAGGTTGTGATGATAATGGGAGTCACCGATCCATCAAGGTCCTTCTGCACAGCCCACCCCTCCGCTCAGCCACATCCACGTGGTGAGCTGGAGCTGAGCAGCAGCAGATTGCCCCCATAATGTCTGGTCGTTTGCAGCTCTCTGTGGCAAAGATGAACGTAAACGTCTTTGTGTTCCTTATCTGATCTATGCAGCAGCTTCTTTTTTGAAGCTTTCTTCAAAGCATGAACATCACCATGAGACAAAGTGCACTGATGAGAGCCAGAGAAGGTCCAGTGTAAGTGTGAATGCAAGAGTTTTATTTTATTTTTTGTGCTTTACAAGACCTTTTATAAAATGTTCTGCTGCTCCATTTCCAATTGAAGAGTATATTCTATTTAAATTTAATTTCTTTTTGCCTGAACAATTAATTGCTTTAGCATTTTTTTGTTATTTATACAACATATTTGATGACATTATTGTTCAATTTAAAATATTTTAATCACAATAATTTTAGATTCAACACAAAAATCTTAAAAAAATAAATAATTCACAGATCACTACACTGACTTCATATTTCTTTAAAGTAATCAAATCCAAACATTTATGAACATTTTAATTTAAAAGGCAATTTATATTTCGATCTATAATAAATATTAGTTGTTGATAAAAGCTGATTAAAGTTAATAATTAACAATAACACACTTGTAATTTAAATTATAGATATCAATGTAGAAATTATGATTTTACTCAAAATAAAAGCAAAACAAACAGAACTGCCTTTTCTTATCTTAAAAAAAAAAGCTTTAGAAATGTTTTTAAACAAAAGGAAATTCAACAAGTATATTATAACTATACTTTCAACAAAACGCCTAAGGGCTCATATTTCAAATACATAAATAAATAAATAAATAAATAAATAAATATTTTCTCTCCTCAGACTGCTATACAAGAACATAAAAAACTACAACAATAATATGAGTACATTTTATTAGTAGGCCTACAGGCTTTCAAAAATAAATTGCACTGTAATATATATATATAAACATTTGGCCATTTAAATAAAAAAAATATATATTTATAATTTTGATTCATCTGATGCGTCTTAATGCAGGTAAATTTTAAATGCGACTAAAACAGATTTAATTAATAAAAAAATATGAACTTTAATCAGACAGTGCGAATATTAAAACATTTTGAACCCACCTACTGTTTCATACAAGATTAAATACAGACAACTTAAAAAAATGAAGAGAAAGTCCAAGTCAAGTAAAACAAACAAACAAAAAAGTCATGTTTTGTCGTTTTCTTCAGCTCAGACGCGTGGGTGTACTTCCGCTCCTCGATGAAGCTTTATTTTGTCCTCGCAGTGTGTTCGGTTTGTTTCCGACAAACTGCGGTGACGCGCTGCACAGCGATTGGACAGCTTGGTTTTAACTCCTCCTTTATATTAAAGCGTGTGTGTGCGCGCGCGCGCGTGTGTGTGTCTCTCCCCTGTTGTAAAACACAGCAACACCGAGCGTTTGCGTAAAGAGGGCACACTCCACTCTGCGCAATTACGCGGGCTCCTGCCTGGCACAACGATCAGACAGAAGATAATTAAAGGCGCTTCTTCTTCAGCTACAAACGAGGCGCAAATGGACTTTTAACAGCAGCGTCCGGACCGAGCTTACTCTCAGCACTTCGATGCAGTTTGCAGCGCAGCAGCTGTGGATGTGATGTGCTCTGAGCACATCCTAATTTTATAAATAGACTTGTTTTTCTATTTAAATAGCTTTCCGTCTTCTCTAAAATTGGCTCCCGTACAAACAGCCGCGTTGGATCCCTCGGCGTACTGCGAGACTCCGGTGTACAACCCGGATCTCTGCCCTAACATGATCGCCGCCCAGGCGAAGTTGGTGTATCACCTCAACAAATACTACAACGAGAAATGTCAGTCTCGGAAGGCGGCCATCTCCAAGACCATCCGGGAGGTGTGCAAGGTGGTGTCGGATGTGCTGAAGGAGGTCGAGGTGCAGGAGCCCCGCTTCATCAGCTCCCTCAGCGAGATGGATAACCGCTTCGAGGGACTGGAGGTCATTTCGCCCACAGAGTTCGAGGTTGTGCTCTATCTGAATCAGATGGGGGTGTTCAACTTCGTGGACGACGGCTCCCTCCCGGGCTGCGCCGTCCTCAAGCTCAGCGACGGCCGCAAGAGAAGCATGTCCCTCTGGGTGGAGTTCATCACAGCCTCCGGCTACCTCTCCGCGCGCAAGATCCGATCGAGGTTTCAGACGCTGGTGGCGCAGGCTGTAGATAAGTGCAGCTACAGAGATGTTGTCAAAATGGTCGCAGACACGAGCGAGGTGAAGCTGCGCATCAGAGACAGATATGTGGTGCAGATCACCCCGGCCTTCAAATGCACTGGCATCTGGCCCCGAAGCGCCGCGCACTGGCCCCTGCCGCACATCCCCTGGCCGGGTCCGAACCGAGTGGCGGAAGTCAAAGCGGAGGGATTCAATCTTTTATCCAAAGAGTGCTACTCCCTGAACGGAAAGCAGAGCTCGGCGGAGAGCGACGCTTGGGTGCTGCAGTTCGCTGAGGCCGAGAACCGGCTCCTCCTGGGCGGGTGCAGGAAGAAGTGCTTGTCGGTCCTGAAAGCGCTGCGCGACCGTCACCTGGAGCTGCCGGGACAACCCCTTAACAACTACCACATGAAAACTTTAGTTTCCTACGAGTGTGAGAAACATCCCAGGGAGTCGGACTGGGATGAAAACTGCCTCGGAGACCGCCTGAACGGGATTCTATTGCAGCTTATTTCGTGTTTGCAGTGCAGGAGGTGCCCGCATTATTTCCTGCCCAATTTAGACCTGTTTCAGGGGAAACCGCACTCTGCTCTAGAGAACGCAGCCAAACAGACTTGGCGACTGGCAAGAGAAATACTGACCAACCCCAAAAGCTTGGAGAAACTCTGAGGTAACATAAACAAAGAAAATATTTGTTCACTTAGTTTAAAAAAAAAAGTGTTAAACAGGCCTAACGAGCTCTGGAATGGACACAAAAACAATCTGCAAAGTCTTAAAATGTGACTGTTGGTGAACATGTTTTGGTCCAGCCTGTTTTAAAATGATTTCTTATAATAACTGATCTGCAATCATCCCTGTTCACCTTCTGGAGGTGTTAACAGGCTAAAGCAAGTTTAAATTATTGCAAACAGCTGACTAAAGCCAGCAGTGGTTGCTTTTCTTTCAAATCTCACTTTTCATAAAGTGCTTTAAAATAAAGCCTCATACAAAATTTGGATTAAAAAGAAAAACACGCCTGTACATTTTATACTGTAAATACATTCATAGATTGTGATTCAAGTGGTCTGAAATTGTGAATGTTGTTCTGTGGCAAGTAAATAGGATCCACCCGTTTAAATCTGAATTTTGATCCCCTTTTTTTCTGGTAGAAACGTTTTTAATTTATACTTGCATCAGTGGTAGTCTGACTCACCTGTTTCAATGAACATTTTAAAAAAATGTTTTGAAAGTTTACATTTTGGAATATAGGCGTAAGACATTTGTTACATCGAAAACATTCCATCAGTTTTACTTGAATTATTATTTAAAATTATTCAAAACATTTGAGTTGTTTGTCCTTTTCCATGCTTAGGCCTGATTAAAAAAAAAAGAAAAAGAAAATGAAAGCCTATATATAGTATATATAAATATATTACAGTTTAATTGGAAAAATGCACTTGAAATACACTGGATTATAACATCTGTGATCGGATTTTATTATTATTATTATTATTATTATTATTATTTCTGTCTTTGGTCTAATTTAAAGAGTTAATAAAACAAGGTGTTTTATATTTGTGTCCTATTATGGTCTTATTAAATGCACACTGAGTAAAGCAAGTCATGTCAGAATAGTTGTAAAAGCATAGAATAAGTATTAATGGTTTAGGTTAAAATGGGGGAAGCAACTTTACAATGTTTATTAATCATAAAAAAAAACTAATTAAAACATTATAATTCTTGAGGAATTATATATATATATATATATATATATATATATATATATATATATAACCTGCAAGAGGGAGAAAATAAAACGCAGGTGGAAATAAAACAGGAAATATAGCTACAATTTAAAATATTGCATCGATAAAAAATACTTTTTGTCAATTAAGTAAACATCTGGCCAGTGAACTTGTGTGTACTCTCATGAGTTTTTTAAGTTATATCGACAATAGTTCTCTAAAAAGGAGCTTGGTCTGAAAGGAAAATGTGAACAGATGTACAACAGGCTGCAAACCAAAGTGTCTGGTTTAAACCTGAGCAGAACAGGAGCCGTTTTGTTTTTCCTTACCTTTGGGTCGACCCTTCTGAACGCAGGGTCCTCTTCGTCCACCTCAAAGTAGATTTCAGAGGTGGTGACGGACAGGGTGCCGCGCGCGACCAGGACCGGGGCAACAAGCTGGGCCGAGCTACTCAGAACCACCGGGCCTGCGGAGTAAGGAGGCAGACATGTCTGATTTTGTATAATAACGTAAAACAAACAAACAAAACATCTTACTTATATTAAATGAAGCGCGGGACTTCGTCTAAAAACAAACTGCGGGTACCAGCGGCCTGCAGAAGTTTGCGCGCAGACGCAGTGAAACAATATCATCCTGGTTTTTAAAATAATTCATCATCCAGTCCGATTTATATGCATAGCCCTTAAAACTATATATATATTTTAAATCTTGTCATAGTAATACCTAGAATTATGATTTTGCGCACAGCAACATGCGCAAATTCACCGGAGTAACGAGTAGCCTATTAACAAAATCAGAATGAATTGAGAATTATTTATGAGTTTAAAAACTGTTTAAAAAAAAAAAGAAAAAAAAAAGATCGCTATTAGGAAAACTGTTTCCACAATATTTTGGAAAAGCTCGTATTTTAATGTATTTGCACCGCGAGTGTAAAACGCGTGTTTATCCAAGCGTTCTTTCACTTAATTTCGATTATTTAAAAACAAACAAACAAACAAAACAAAAACAAAAAAAAATACAGGATAATTATAGACCCGCTGCACTGATGAAGCTTGTTGTCAGGTGCAAACCTGATCGTGTTCAGGATTTGTGACCTGATCCTGATCAGATGTTTTAGTTTTCAGATCAGTGTCGCTGTGGAGAACGGTTACAGTGATTTGTCTGCTCCAAACCAGGATATTTATCGATCCCTTAAACTCCAAAGAGCCACTTTAATGTCTCGTCAATCTTAATCTGCGTTCCTCAGCCAATTACGGCTGATAGTGTTACAGGAATACAAGTGGATTTTGGTTTGAACTCCCAGAGCGTCCCTTCATCGCTCTTCCAGGCTGCTCGGTTGAACCATTCTCCCTGGATAGTTTTTTTTTTTCCTCTTCTCCTTCTCAGCCTTGCTCGGTTCCATTAACGATTCTTCTGTCTGCTGCAGCCTTCACCCCAGATACTACACTCTGTTTTTGAGATTTTATTAATAACCAATCACCTCAGATGGATTTACACTTGCAGCAAACATTATTAGCCCAAACAAACAAACAAACAAACAAACAAACAAACAAACAAAAAAAGACTTACCAAATCAAGTGAAGTGAATGTGTAATAGCTAATAGTCATAAATACAACTCCAAGTAAACATTTTTATTTGGTACATATATATTTTTGGCTTTAGTCAGTTACAGTAAAAAATAGATTGACTTGATGGTTACACCTTAATGGCCCTGAAGAATTATACAATAACACTAGAAATAAGACTGCTATGCGGGCAGCACGGTGGTGCAATTGGTAGAGCTGCTGCCTCTTAGCGAGCAGGTCCCTGGTTCAAATCCCGGTCCGGGGGCCTTTCTGGGTGGAGTTGGCATGTTTTCTCTGTGCATGCGTGGGTTTTCTCCGGGTACTCCAGTTTCCTCCCACAGACCAAAAACATGCATGTTAGGCTGATTGGTAACTCTAAATTGTGCATAGGAGTGAGAGAGAGAGTGAATGGTTGTTTTTCTCATATGTCTATGTGGTCCTGTGATGGACTTGTGACCCATCCAGGGTGTATTCCGCCCCTTGTACAGTGATTGCTGGACATGGGCACCGGCGACCCCCATGATCCAAAATGGAAGAAGCGGGTAAAAGATAATGGATGGATAGATGGAAGACTCCTATGCAGTATTTAAAGAGCTACACTGACAGTACAGCCTGAAGCTTTAAGTATCCATTGCTTATGGGCAGGATGAGGATTAGGCAGTAATCCCCTCAGGGATTCTTCCATAATTAGGCTATGAGGCATTAAAATGTTTGCATGAAAATAATGAAATTAGGGGCAAGTTACACAAGATAGGGGATCCGTACAGGATAAGGATATGTCACTGTTGGGTATTTCTGTCAATGAAAATGTTAATGATTCTCAAATGACAGGCCAGTATAATGAAGTGATGACAAGACTCATTTTAGAGAGGTGGACTTTGGGAGAGATGCAGAAAGGGTGAGTTGATCAATGTCTACCATGTAACAGTAGTGTTTTACTATTTTATATCATGAGGTAGGTTACTACCAAACATGAACTTATAAATTCAAATATGTTCCTAAAAAGAAAATTGTCTTCAGAATGGATACATTCAGAATTGTTTTGTTGTAAACATGTCACCCATCAAAATACTGGTATTTTAAATAGAGTCGTAAAATGTATACAAAAACGGTTAAAGCAAAACAAAATGATTGTGGCTGCTATAAGCCACACTTTGGGATGTATTAACATGCTTCCGGTATGCTGGCAGAACAGTCAAATCTGCAGGCTCCTCCTTGGCATGGGAAAACATCCTGAAAGGATAACACTGTTACATTCTTCCCTCTCACATGCATTTCTCTTTTGGTCACAATACGTGCCTACAAGAAAAAAAGCTAATTCAATGCCAGCTCAAGTACAAACATCATTTCTAGTGTTTGTGGGGGAGAAAAACTGATCATAGGTTCAGTAACCACAACTGCCTGAGCTCATGAGTGCAGGCGCCGCCTCTTTGGCAGCAGCAGCAGCAGGCGCTGACCCAGCGGCTGGCAGGAGGAGGGCTGTTGTTGACAAGAATCAAGTCCCAGATCTCTCATTAAGGCTGTTCATGCCTGAGATTTTAAACAGGGCTAAAACAGACTAAGCACTCTGTCTAAAAACACAACTGGATGTTTGAGCATGAAGGAGCGCCCCTAGCGTTGAAAACAAGAACTTGCATTTTACAAAAAGACGTTTTCTTTCGTGTTTCAAATGTCCACTTTTATATTTGTTTCAGTTTTTCAAAATCCAGCTCAGCACTTCAGTTTGTACAAGGTTGCTAATGGCTTTTCTAGGAAAAAAAAACATAACAAAAAGCTTTTGTTTGCATGTTCTTGTCTTTCTCTTTGGAATGACCAGTGAAGCGCAGGCATAAAGTGTCTGGCTATCTGTAGCAAGGAGGGGAGTTAATCTGCTCCTCTGAGATTCATCTGTGAAATTTTATGGGGGATTTTACAACTCTGAAGTTCCCCAATTCAGTATAGGCTTCACATGCTTAGCCGTGGGCAATATATAATGTAGCTCTGAATTGACTGCTTCAAATAGCAGTCTAGATTTTCAGACCACATTTTAATTGTTTTTATCGTAATGTTCACCTGGAAAGAATCATAGCATTGAATAATTTTATATAGTCCAGTTATCAGCGGTTACATGGCCGTTATTAGTTGTTATCGTCCCCATATGTAGCCGTCAGGCTGCCCATCATGTACCTCCTAGTACATATGTGTCAAACTCAAGGCCCAGGGTCCAAATGTGGCCCTCAATGACATCTTATCTGGCCCTCAAGATGATATGTGAAACAATTACTTCTATCTCTTTAATTTTTTCAGATGTCAACAGCACAGCAGAGAACATCAAATGAGACCAATTAAACTCTTGTTGAGGAACCTGTGACCAAGAAAATATGTTGGGTATCTGATTTGAGTTAATGTAGTTTCTGAAATTGGCCCTTAGTTTGAAAAAGGTTTAAATTTTGTCCCCCTTTTGTAAGTAAGTTTGACAGCCCTGTCTTAGTGGGTTTAAAGGTATGTTGTTAGCATTGTTAACAATGATAAAAGGCTTCCAAGGAGTTCCCAGGACAACCAAGAGACAGACTCTCCAGCACGGCCTGGGCCTTCCCCGGGGTCTCCTCCCAGTTGATATGCCTGAAGCACCTCCCTAGAGATGCGCTCAGGGAGCATCCTTACCAGATGCTTGAACAACTTCTACTGGCTCCTCTCAATGTGGAGGAGCACCAATTCATTCATTCAACCTTTATTTATACAGGTTAATCTCATTGAGTCACAAGTATTCATTTTCAAGAGAGACCTGTTTTAAACAAACAAACAAAAAAATACAGATGAGATACACACAACAATAAACAGTCATAAAAAACATATAAAATGAAAAGTAAATAAAATTATTGCTATAATATGAAATACAAACAAGCTACAATATGAAATAGGGTAAAATACTCCCAGCTGCTTCACACTCGGCTCCAGTGAGAGCTGAAGAGCACAGCACAATGACACCAACAGGACTACATCATCTGTAAATAGCAGAGATGGAATTTGAGGATCTGCAGTTTGACCAATGATCAGACTCATTTCTCTAGTACCCCTGAATAGGCCTTACCATGGAGGTTAAGGAGAGTGATGCCCCTATAACTGGAGCACACCCTCCAGTCCCCCTTTTTGAAGAGAGGAACCACCACCCCACTGTACCAATCCAGTGGCACTGCCCCTGATGCCCACGTGATGTTGCAAAGGCGTGTCGACCAAGACAGCTCCACAACGTCCAGAGCCTTAAAGAAATCAAGGCAGATCTCATCCACCTCGGACTCCAGAGCCCTGATGCCATAGAGTTTTTTAAACTACCTCGGCATCCTAAGACACAGTTGTGGATAGAACAACCCCAAAGTCCCCCATCTCATCTTCCTCCACGGAAGATATGCCAGTGCCAATGCATTCCACCAGCAGTCACATGCCGAAGTGTCCCTGGGCAAGACACTGAACTCCTCATTGCCTCCGATGTGTGTCCCATCAGTGTATGAATGTGATAAAGCACTGATTGTTTTTTGTATAGATCTAGTAGAGTGCTGTGTGAATGGGTAAATGAGGGCACAGATTGTGGTGTAAAGCACTTTGAGTATCTGGATAAGATAGAAAGGAGCTATATAAGTACAGTCCATTTACAGTCCATTTAACAAACACTACATCACACAGGCACCAAGACAGGGGGGTAAGAGTAGACCCACACCAGCACCTCTCACCATGTGCAACTTCAGAGCTGAACAAGGTCCAGACCTTCTCAAGAAGAGTAGTTCCAGAGCTCATGCTCTGTGAGCCCAACCATATCTAGTCAGTACCTCTCAGCCTCTTGCATAAGCCCAGGATCATTCCCCACCAAAGAGGTTGTATTCCATGTCCCAAGAGCCAGCTTTGGTAAGCCAGGGTCAAAGTGCCAAGGCCCCCAACTTCAGCCACAGCTCATGTCGTCATGCATATGACTCACATGGCCCCTCCTATAGATGGTGGACACACAGGAAGGCAAACCCAGATAGCTCATTGGGGCTGAGCCTGACTGGGCCCCATGAGTAGAGAGACCTGGTCACCAGACACTCACCAACAAGTCCCTCCCCTAGATCTGGTACCAGGGTGAGGCCCCAGAAACCCATATCCAGGCAAGGGACACTGAACTCCTTGCTGTTTTCTGTCCATATGAGTTGTCCGAATCGTTCTTTATCTGACATGTCACATTTTTCCGGCGATCTTCGGATCACAGGCCCACCTTCTCTAACCTCTGCTCAACCACTCCCCCTTATAT